GCTTGCTCTGTTTTGTTTGGTATTTACTTTGAACGACAACAGAAGTGACGTCATGCAGGATCGCATAGTGCACCTTTAAATGTGAATTCATACCAACAACTTGGATGAATAAATAAGCAGCAAAATACCTTTAAACATGAGATAGTAGGACTACTAAAACAGACAGCAGAAGTGTATATGACCAAACAAACCTGCAACAGCTAATGTTAAAAAAAAGGTAAGACAACATTACAGGGAGGAAACCTCACTACAGCTGGTCAAAGGGGATTAAGTTGCACAAATCTATTCAAATATCTAATCTTGTGCATTATGCCCATAAACCAATACCTAACTATGCCATCTACTGACCAAAAGATGCGACCCTCTCTGATGTGCTACAGTCAGCGTATATTTGCTGCTGTAGCTCAAACCACTTACATTTGTCCTATTATTCTTTACAGCAAATAATTACCTGCAATACATTTAAACTTCCACTTGTTCTGCTCCAGCACTCACAGCTCTCTCCTGTAATCATTTGTATTTTTACCAATATCAGTTGTTCAATTACACGCTATTGAGTTCTGCTACAGTACTTTAACGTAGCAGTTAGCAATAGCATCCCTTAAATCTCTTGCACTCTGTTGCTCGGTGCATCAAATGTTTAAAAAAGGTAGTAAGTGGATTATGGTTTTTAGCCCATAACTAACTTAACATTAATGCTGTAAGAACTGAAGCACAACCTTCATCTTGTCTGTGCCTTTTGCTGAAAATGAAATTCATTTTACTTTGCTACTGGAGTCAGGGTTTCATCACCACATACACCAGCCAGGGAACTGTTCTGTGTCAAGTGACTGCAGTGTTGTATTCTGATTATAGACAGAAAGTCAATAGTGTCTCATAGCACGTGTGTAGCATCGGCAGCTAGAAGCAGCATCTTCACAGGCTATGATTGGGCAACTTACCTTTCTCTCCAGCCGCTCCTCCCGGGTCTCTGCTCTTGTTGGTGGAGGGGCATCTCTAGGGTCCTGATCACAAAAGGAATATCAATGCATGTTCAATGTAGCACTGAAGAAGAAAATGTGCATAAAAAATGAACACGAACATTACACATGTTTAAATAATTACCTCGAAGTGCCTGATAAATGGTGCGATGCCACTGTAAGGCTGGTTGTGATGCTTCTCATGGGGCAGCTTCTCTAGCTGGGGCAGGAAAGGTATGGGGTCCCGCGGTGCAAACAGGGCCAGTAAGTTTGGGGGTAAAAACTGCGTCATCTTTCACCTAAACAACCAATAGCAGCTTAATGAAAACCCTGATAGCACACTGAACACGTTCCAAGCTTCTAGCAATAGATTGCAGGCCAACACCAACAGCGGAAGCACTTACGGTGGTTAGCTTCATGTGCTAATTATTGTCTTCATCGACGACTACAGTACTATCCTCACGTTATTGTTTACATACAAACTGCGTATATATTTTAAGATAGAAGCTATACAACAATGGTTAGCACTCAGGCTAGCATCAACAACATAACTAACTATCAACACCGCAACGTTAGCCCAGTATTGAGAATTCAGTAGAGCATTGCATTAGCCATCAAGCTAACTATGCTAACAAGGAACCACGAGTTTGATTCTTACCTTCTCTCCTCCAGCGCCTGGACAAATGTCAGACAATGGACCAGAGGAACGCAGGTACGATATATGCAGGTCTCCTGGACAAAATCACTATCGCAAAAATGTACAACAAGGAACTTAAAAGCGGACCGCGCAGGGCGCCCAGACCGTGTGGCGACAGGTAACGTTAGTTAAATGTGTGCGGGCTGCTGCTGTTCTCCACAAGTAAAATGGCGGGCTGCCGTAAATCGCAGTCACCTGACGTAAAAGCCAGCGGGTCAGAGTCAGTGCAACACAAACCACCACTAAGTTGGTGATACTGTATCAGAGCGGATTTTAACCAAAGTTCAAGTGCAGTGTCAGACATAATATATTTTATTTCTGCAGCATATGTAATTAGGATAAATACTTAGTTCCCAATAATTCAACCCAAATCATTTTTACATTAACCCTAGTGAAAATCATGAAATATAAAATATACAATATAAATAATGAGGGGTCCATTAAGAAAAAAGGTTGGGAACCACTGGTATAGACAATTATGAAATAGCTAAATCTTATCCTGGATGTTAAATCTAGAATAGACTTTAAAATCCTCCT